GTGTGACACTGAATCACCACGTTTGTATGGTCAGTGTTTGGTGAAAATTGAGACAAATCCAATTATTTATGAAGCCGAAAGCTGCTGGTTTCTGGGAAAGGAAAGAAACCATGAAGTGCATATTAAAAAAAAAAAAATAAAGCAAACCAAAAAACTGATGTGAAAAACTGATTGAGGCTAATGCAGGTTTTATAGCCCATCTTTAAGCTGCTACAGATGTGATTTCTGGTAAACTGGAAACAGTTCTTTATTAGTCTGAGTCCTTTGATTGAAGAAAGTATTTCGGAGTGTCTCCATCTGAATCACTGCCAGGATAATGGTTACAGTGAGTTGGTTACCTGGAATTTCCAAATAGCTTTAAAAAAAAATAATCTGTCCTGTGAGACAATATAGCTGACTTATTCCAGAGGCCCTTGATTGTGTCGCTGCTGGTGATGCTAGCAGGTGACTTGTGGAGTTGCTAGTTTGGTCTTAATAGCCAAAGAGTTTGGAGCGGTAGGATGTGACATATGGTAGGAAGCTGCAGCTCCTGGTGCTTTGAAATCCAGGAGATCAGTGATCAACATCTTGCTTCCAACTGGGAAGCTCTGCTGTCCACCAGTGGTTAAAAACGTTGCTATTATGCTTTTTTTAAAATGGGCATCGGAGGAAACTTCCTAAAAGGTAGTGGCTTGCATTGCTTAAGTAAATGTCTTAAAACATGTCAAATCATTTGTTTACTTCAGTGATGTTCTGTACCTTTTCCAAATGTGGCTTCTAAGAATGATCTCAGGAAAAAAGTTGATAAACTTTCTATTGGTGTTTACTTCAATTAAACTGTTTAGGGCTTCTGCTGAGCCTGTACAGCAGTATATTAGGAATTCCCTAGGAAAGCTGATGGAATTATTAATTCTGGAATTATTTTTCAAGATATGAGTGTACTTAAAAGCTTTCCAAAAAACCTTGGATGACTTCCTTTGATAGGAACTTCTCTTCCAAGTAGGAATTGGAAGTTTAGAGCTGGTGCTGGAACTCTGGCTAGACAAGCTGATAACATTGGACTTTCATCACATTCGAAAATTGATTAAAGTAAAAAATATTCAAAGTATAGCTAAATGTATTTTTCAGTTAGATAAGAGTGCATTTTGCACAAGTTCTGAGCCACCTGGACGTGAGTTAGCTATGAGCTGAGCCTGTGTAGCCACCGTTAATGAAAGGGTAAGGCTGCAATGAGTGGTTTGGCTCAGAGGCAAAGTATGTTTGCATTATACCAGTACCGCGTGCCAGCTATGTAACTTCTGGTTTAGGCAGACATGTCATCTAAGGTACGAGCTGAGAGTAGGCAGAAAAGATTGCATAATATGTGTTTGTGGATTTGCTTCTCTTCAGCTTTTTTTGCTGAGCCGTCGTATTGTCGGTTGCTAAGAAAACTGCTCAAAGTGTTATTTCCCCCCCCCGCCCTTGTGACTTAGTGGAGTTAGTATATGTAGTCTGGTGGATGAAAACACGGGTTGGTCCCATGTGTTTCTGCGCTGAGACTGTAGCCTCTTGATATCTTTGAATTTTGTGTAATGTGTTTTTTGCTGGGTAGATAGAGACCCTTCATCCATATCCTTATTTTATAAACCTTACTACATTCTCTACTTGTGCTGTTTTGTCTGTAGACCTTTCTGGTTGTGTGGGTTTTTTTCTTCATGCACATTTATATGCTATTTTTTCTTCATGTGAAGAGCAAGTGAAAATTTCTTCTGTGTATCATTTCAGGCTTATTTCAATACATAATTTAAACATATGCCTAAGGTTGTAGTTTTCATGAATGGCCTAAATCAGTCTAATTCTGCACCATATTTTCACCTCCTCTCTTGCATTGGTATTAGTGAGCACAGGGGCTGCACAGTGAGACAGGACAGCGATCTCACTTGAAACCAATCCCACCAAAATACCCCAAACTGATTTAATTTACTATGTGGCCATATGGCTGCCAGCATAAGCATAACAGCATTTAAGGACAAGTTGAAGTACTCTGAGCTGGTGTCTTTAGTTTGGGGGTTTGTTGTCTCTGCTTTATTTGTGACAGCACTCGGAGTTGTGTGTGAAGGGTAATGGTGTTTTTGCGTGGGCTTCCTATGCTCTGTGTAGGCTTTCTGTGGCTAGGGAGAACAGAAGTTTATTTTTCTTCACTCTTCTATAATCTCTACAAGAAACAATTGTGTGACTCTGACCTTGGTCTTGCATGTTAGCACTGCTGAAGTCAGTGGGGCTTCACCCTGGCACCTTGGTCTGCCAGTTTGCAGGCTCAGTTTGTTTGCCACAAGATGGGCTGTGTTTTGACTTCCACAACAAAGAAAACGGATGCTTGTCTTCCTTCTGGAACTCAGTGCTGTTAGATTTTTATACCTATAAGGAATCTGGCATTTTCCTTTCTTTTTAATGTGGGGCAGTATTACTAGTTAAGTAATTACTTGTTAAAAAAATCTGTGGTCTATCATATAAATATCTTCTGATCTGATTATTCTTAAATACATTGTGGATTACAAAAAAGTTCAGACCATCGTAATGATGTACACTGACTTTGTTTCTTTTCTTTTTCTTTGTTCCCTTCCCTTTATGTGAATGATGTATTCGTACTTCTCATCATCGTTGCTGATATTTTCTTGCCAATCATCTAGAAAACCACCTAAGGTAAGTATTTTGTCTCTTTTTGCATTTGTACTGCTTGAAAATGTTGAGCAATGCAGAAGTATTGGGTGTGTTCCTGTAGTATGTGATCAATACAGCTTTAATAAAGGAAAATACATTTAAAAAAAAAATCTATTCCTCATACTTCTAAGTTAAAGACTTCATAATTCCAGAAGAATACATTTTAATCCAACTGACGTGCAGGCAAGGCACATGACTTGTTAAAGCTGTGACCAGGACAAGCCATTATTTTAATGCATTCATAAAAACATTTGAAAGAGTAAATAAGTATTGTGTGTAAAATATTTCATTGCACATAATTCTGCTTAAAAGTTAAAATATTGTATGTAAAAGGTGGCAAAATACAACTAGTAAGAAACAAACTGCTCTTGTTTGTAATTGACAATCTGTAGGAATTAATAATTTGTGTAAAAGTAGCCAAAGTGCACCAGAATTTGCCTAGAAAAGATTGTGTTGTTTGTAATGCAGGGGAAGGGAGGGAGAATGAGTGTTATGTATCTTTTGGATAGAGAAGGAGCCTTACCGGGATGACAAATACAGTATTGGTACAGGGCTGGTAGCAATCATAAGGTAAAAGGACTGTGTGAACTACATCTTGTCAGCACATGCAAAACTCTGTATTGGTATTTTGCTTCAGCAATTTAATGATAATTTTATCCTTTCTGTTTCTGTTGGATGGTACTTTTTGCAGCAGAAAGCTGTGGTTAGCTCTGAATGAGGTTTTCTTTTACATTCTTCTCTTTGATTTGTACATCTTCAAGAAATAGCGTATGCAAGTCTGATGTGACTTCTGCAGGTGTGGCAGAGCATTCTGTAGGCCTTCTGGGAATAGAAATTGGGATGGATAATGATCTATATATCTGTCTTCTATGGATATCTGTCTACTATATAGTTCAGACAGCTATTTTATATGCGCGTGTGCATATATATATAAAAATCTATCTATTGTTCTGATTAATTTTAAGTGTCACAAGAAAACATCTTCTCAGTAAGTGATGTGTATTATTCCCAATAGGCAGGGAAGAATGGAACAAACTAGTTTAACATGAATTGAAATAATCATATTTGAAAAAAACAAACAAAAATATGTAATTTAAGGTCACAGCAGGTGAAAATAAGTAACACTGATATTGCAGTTTAAAATGGTATCCTGTACTGATTTATTTTTTCCTGGACCTGTTTTTAGTTTCTCAATTTTTTGGAAAGCATTTAATAAAGTTCTTCTATCAGTCCCAGTTAGTATATCTAATACAAAAAAGTTTGATCATTGTTACAAATTTTTTAAAAAGCAAAAAACCCCTCCTTTTTGTTGTTGTAATTTCACAAAAACTTCTTTATGAGAACTTTCATTTTCTGTAGTACCTCATTCATGTTCCATTATAGGCAGATAAAGTTATTCTTGACATTATGTAGAAGCTTAATTATGGCCTTGTGTTTCTTCAACAGAAACATAAAAGCTGCACGCTTGTGCATATATGCCACATTATTGTTAGGTATAGTTAGATGGTCATTAACATCCTTGAGCCATAATGCCGAAACTTAAGATGTTGTGTGAAATGTTTATCAGTTTGAGACAGAAGAAGGTTCTTGCCGTCAGTGGAAATAGGCTTTGTGAGTTTGTAAAGATGTGAGATTTGGATGTTTCTTGATTTATACAGTTTTTAGGGTACTGCACGTAGTTGATCATCTTCAAATTAGGATTTTTTTTTTAAAATGAAATTTCATAAATATTGGAAGTTTCTTTATCTTTACTTTAATGAGCTACTTTTATCAGCTGTGGATGAATTGTCATCCTAGTTCAGCCTGGTAGCTCAGAAGCTGTGGTAGGAAAAGTTATATAAGGATATTGGGGTGTTTTTCTATTTCTACAAACATCATGTTTAAGTATATTACTGATCTTGGGCTTTTAGTGTAACTTTGTGACAAAGGTGGAAGGGTTGTTCTGAGCTGAGATTTGTGAGCTGTGCCCTAGGCTGCCTTCAGATTTTCTGTCCTTACTTCTTTAGGCCTTTCGTAGGTCTTGAGTTTTCCATACAGTGACCAACTTCGTTCTTTTTCAGTTCTTTAATGGCTTCCATTTACACTAAGCTTACCAGTGTAGACTGTTTGCTATTTCCTAATGTATCTCCTTTATCACTTATCTCCATCAGTAGTTACAATAGGGATGTATGAATGAAAATTTCCCTTCCTCAGTTCTCCCTTGCTTTTATTTTTGGCAACCATGTAGCCCTGTAAGTCACCCTACGTGTCAGACTGACTGCTTCATTGAGATTCACGTGAGCGATGTCTGCACCTGTCCAGCATAACTTTTTTCTGTAAAACCAAAACATAGTTGTTTGGCCATCTATCGGTCAGATGGAAATGGCTATTAAACATGTTAGCTATGCACTTACAATATTGTACAGATGCATAGACAGTCTATGTTAGGGGTTACGTTCAGTCTGGGTAATGCATTGCTAAATGGGCCAAGCCCCAGACTCTGTGTAGTCTATACTGAGGGTTAGGGTTTGAAACAACTGATAATGAATGTGGAAATCAGACTCTTTTCTAAACTAACTGTGTCATTTGGCTTAATCTGGCAAGCACTTAATATTGGATATGGTACTCATTACCTGCAAGTGGTTCACATAAGTATACTTGCATGCGTAAACCCTTAAAATTATTAATTCTTCAAGCCATTGATTAGGGGCTTTAATAAAAGAGTTCTGCAGAGTATTGTTTTGGCTATTTAAAATGTGAATACCGCTTGGCTGTCTTTTCTGATTCTGTGAGAAGTAACTGCTGTGTAGCAGTCAGGCACAATGGCCCTTCTAGTTTAAAATCTGCAATCTCATTTTAAGCCACAGGTACAGGTGAATTTGAGACAAAACTCCAGATTTTTCACTGACGTGGTGGGTGCGTGGACCTGCATCACTGTTTGTTTTGCTGTGGAAGCCATAACCGCTAGCTGCCTTGTTAGCAAAATAGTAACCAACAGCTGTCTTCTGCTGTAGGTGTGTGTTTGAAGAAATATGAATCAAAGCCCCATATCTTTTCTTTACTTAAACTTTGTGGTTACCAGAACAAGTCTTTTGTTTAACTTTTAATAGTTATTAACACTCTGAGTATCATTCTCTGTAACCTAGAAATGGCCTACGTAACTCTGTTACCCAGGGTAATGCGCATGCATATGGTGACTCTGGATACAGTAGTACCATGATGTAGCACTTCCTGGCTAATTCTTTCTCATAACTTTCCATTTTTATCTGTGCTGTAATGTTTGTGAGTTAAAATTCTTACGATGAATATAGAATGAGTACATGCTCAAGCTCATATACCTATTTTTACTACGGACTTCCAATTGTGGAAGATCTGTCCTGGTGAATTGTATTCCATTACTTGTAGCTCTGTCTGTTACTTGACTATTTCTACATGTCTAAAATGCGATGTCCAAACTTTTTTCCAACTGTCATACCACTCAGACTGAAAATACTGTGCAATGTCAAACACTGGAATAATAGAGCTGGGAAAAAAAACATCCTCTTGGTCTCCTAGTTCCACTCAAAATTTTTGGTTTAGAAGCTACTACCCTAGTGTGGCAGGTTCCTGGCAGCTTATCTAGCTTTCTCCTTTAGATGCTAGGATGAAGTATGAGGTACAGAATCTTGCAAAAATAAGAAAGTTTTAAGGCTTGTTTGTTATTTCCCTCTGTAATTTAAAAGCCCAGAATAATTTTGGGTCTGGTTGTGAGAACTGGCCAACGCCTGTGTGAACTTACCATCTGCTTGTGGTTGAATGCCAACCTGTGCAGACACTTGAAGTAGGTGTATACCTGTCTTTCATGGTTTTCCCATTTTGCTTACCTTCTGAAAATACATTAAGCTTCCTGGTACAGTGGCTATGGAATTGACATCAGAGCAGTAAGAAAGCAGAAAAACTCGTCCATATAGTCAGAGACTTACTCAAAATGCTTAGAAGAATAACTGAAAGTTCAGGAAATCTTAGTGGAGATACAGGTAGCAATTTTAAACTTTGAGTTTCAAACAAAAATATTTGCCTTTTTTTCTTTTAATGTTAAAACACCTAAATGGAATAGATTTTCCAAAATGTAGTTAAAAACTAATTCACAGAGGGTGCTTAGGGTTTAAAAAGTTCTGTTTGTGTGTTCACAGATCTCTCTGTTCAAATACATTTCAATAGTAGTTTTGATATAAGTTGGTAAAGATTTTTACTTTTGAGTGTTCTTTAAAAACCTAAAAAGGCATTTTCAGTGCCCAGTAATGCCCAGTTTGAGTATTGGCCATTGAGTCTGAGACTTTATCATTAACAGAACTTCTGATAGCTTTGATAGCCATATTGACAGGAGGTTTAATACCTTCTTCAGGGAAATGGATCTTGGGGAGAAAAAATTAATAAGAAAAAATTATTATTCTGCATACTCCTATCAAAAGAAAAAGTAATTCCCACCATTTTTGTTTTCAAGGAAGAATAATCAGTGAAGGTGGGAGAAGGAAGGGAGCACCTTAGATGATACTTAGAGGGTTTTTTCTTCTTCATCATAGCATAGGTTCTGTATCTTGACCCCAAGTATGGTTGCGTGCTCTTCTTGGGACTGTATGTCCTGCAGTTCCTGCACTGGAGGTCAGGAAAATATAAACTAGCGAGTCATCTTTGTACAGAAAGGATGATCACAATGGTCACTTTTCAGGTAGGATGCTGTCCTCCAGGCGTTTCCCATAAAATGCCTTTGTTATGTACCTGCGGAAGAGACTCACTGACTGGGACCAAGTTTCTTGCTCTTGTATGCCTTATTTCTTACTCTGTTAATTCTTGCATTTGGAATCTGTTTTCCCAAAGGTCTGAGTTGTCCTGAAAATTGCTTTGGTTGGGTGCTTCCTTAAATTATCATTGCTGGGAATGTTCAAGGTTGGTGTTTTGTCATCACTGATCAAAGTAATTTTTAAAGTTTTGCCCGCCTGTTTTAATGGAGAAGGGAATTCTACTGCAGCTGCTCTATGTGTTTTGCAGATAGTGCATGCTCCAGCAGTTTCCACTTTTTTTTTGCCCCCCCTTTTTTTTTTAAAGTAATCTTGTTACTTCTGTTAGAAGGATTTGGCAATTTTCCAGGACACACTTTATAAATAGCCTAAGTCTGTGTCTTGGCTTTTTATGTTTAGTATAAAAACATACTAAAATGCTATATTTACATTTGTTTTATCTTGAGACAGAATTTTTCTCTTCCTATTGCATAATCATTTTGCAGCTTTAAAAAATCAGTTTGACCAATTCCTACGTTTTAAAAAAAATCCAAATAAAACTATTTTTCTGCAAGAAACACTTGGCTGCAAGCACATATTTTAGTTTTTAAAGTCTCTTTGCAAGATCAGTGTTTAAATTATGAGTCATTGAATAATCCTGTCATGATTTTCCATGTTAACCAAGGGGAAAATGTGTAGGACAATAGATTAAATTGGTCTACAGTACTGCTGTATTGACATTTTAAGTCATTACAGATGAGCATGTATAGCTGGGTAACCTTTCTGAACTGGGCTGTGTGATCCACTGCAGAAAATACTTAGTTTCAAGGGGAAGGAATTGGCATTTGGTAGATTTGGATCCTTACAATTGGGTTTTCTTTTGTAATAGAACTGCTTGCCGTTTGATTGTAGAGAGATTAGGTATTGTTACCAAGTCCCATGAGGAAAACTTCTGTAGAAGTGGAATGTGAGAAGAGAAAACACTATTTCTTGGGCTGTGAAAGTTAGGAAAAGGGCTAGAACGTTCTTACTGATGACAGAGAGTTTGTTATGCTTAGATTTGAAGCACGATGAACAAATGCACAGAAGGAATGTAAAATGCCCCCTACGTACGTGGAGGTCTGAAGATAAGGTGAAGTAACTGCTGCATATTACTTGCAGTTCAGTGGCAAAACTATGCCTGTGACTCAGTCACAGCAGGGAAGGTCCTGACACATGAAGTTGTCTCTTTCTATTTGTGCTGCAGTAAATGACTCAGACCTCCCTGTTAGATTATTATTATGGGGTTTTTTGTTTGTTTGTTTTCTCTTCAGAAGGGAATTCCAGAACTCATTTCACTCTTGTGGACTAAGTGTTGTCTCAGTACCAAGTCTTCTCTCAGGCCGTTTGATGTGTTTTGCATTAAGTTGGGGGAAAGGGAAGGAGGTGAGGTTACTGTGCTGCCTGGTTTTATCCTTCTGAAATATTGGCAGCAACGGAAATTTTGGGAAGAGTTAGGTTGCAATATATCTGTAGATTAGATTGCATAGTAATTCTGCAATAGCAGGGAATCCAAGGTGTTCTACATCCCCAAAAGCCAAAAGGAAATGATCCATCTTCTTCCTCACCTCAGGGTTTGTCTCACGGGGAATTTGCCATTTCTGCTAATAGAGCTTGTGGCTCTTGCTTCTACATTGACCTGCACGGTTTGTCTCACTAAGGAGATCAGCTGTTGGAAGACCAGGCAAAGAAAATCTTGGCCCAGGCAAAGTTTTAATAAAGAAGGTTGTTTGGGTATTTTCCCTACCTCTTGGGATCCCAAAAGAAAAAAAAATAAATCGAATCTATATCATTAATTCATCTACAGTCAGTTTACCATGGTAAAATGTGGAAAATACACTGCAGCTTAAGGTGTGTTTGTGGCAATATAAAGCTGTCAAAACACCAGTGTTAAATGTCTATACCATGATGTTCTCAGATGTGCAGAAATAGTAACTTGGATCAAATCCCAACGCGTTAAGTGGTTTTACAGCACACTGTTCCAGGTCCACAAGCCCACTGAGCACAATATTGAATCTCATTTGATTTCTACTGAGCTGGAACTCTTGACTGAAGTGGTATTAAGCCTTTTCATTAGAGCAGGCTCTGATAGCTTGTTTGTCTAATAGAGCTACATTTTCTGTTTGTAGTTTTTGGGCTTCCTCTACTGAGATCCAGTACTGTACTCTTAGTTTAGGCAGGTAATCTGACACTATTTATTTGCTCCTTAAGGCTTGTAAGTAGTAATGCTCTCCTTTGAACATTAGAAGTCCCAACCCATGGTAAAACTTTCGTGTGTCTTGTAATGATGTCTGCTAAATAGCCATCTTGCCAAGTTCTGTATATTGAGTCCTTTCGGTGCTGTTTCATTACTGTTGGCAGAAACTTTTGTCAGCATTAGTGCCTGGAGAAGAGTGGAACTAATTATTAGGTTTTGGCTGTGTTTTGAAGTCTGTGTTAAGGGATACAATAAGCAGTATTTCGTATTGTGTATAATACAGATAGAAAAGAAGTATTGCAGTTCTGCAACTCTCAAGATT